AAACTGGGGATATTACAACTAAAACACAGCGGATATTGGAAGAAACAACATCTTTCTACAAAAACCTCTATAAAGAAGAGCAAGTGATGGACATAGATCGGTATGAGATTCTCAATAGTTTTCACAAAAAATTGTCGGACAAGAGCATCGAAAGTCTTGATGCTCCACTTCAAATGGAAGAAATTGAAATGGCAAAAAGTAAACTAAAAAAAGGAACGAGCCCAGGTCCTGACGGATTTACATCTGAATTATATCAACAACATGCCTTCTCTTTTGCCAATATACTTTTACCATTGTTTCAGTCTGCTTTTAGTTTTGCTAAAATGCCGAAGTCCTTCAACAAAGCCATAATCAAACTATTGCCGAAAGAAACTGAGAGTCTTCTGCCGAATGACTATAGGCCGATCAGCTTGATAAACACAGACCAGAAAATCCTGTCACATGTAATAGCTGGAAGGCTTAAGCCAGTTTTAAGTGAAGTGATTGAGAACGAGCAACATGCATATTTGCCCAATAGATCCATACATCAAGCCATCCTTGAAATCCGATTAAGACTCCGCAAATCAAAACCCAAAGTGGTAGCTTCAACGATCGACTTTTCTAAAGCTTTTGATAGGGTCGATCGGAAATATATGTTCCAAATTCTACGAAAAATTGGATGCCCAAGCCAATTGATATCTCTAATAGAAAGCTTGTACTGCAACTCTAAGTCATCAGTTGCAATAAATGGGTTTAATTCAAGAGAAATCAAACAGAAACGAGGAGTCCGACAAGGATGCCCATTATCAGCTCTGCTTTTTATCTTAGCTCTCGAGCCACTGTTAAATCAAATACGAGAATCAACTTATTTTAGTAAATTTGAAACGCGAAGTGTTGCGTATGCTGACGACCTAACAGTTTTCACTCGCGCTGACGAGGTTCAACATCTGCACAAAATACTTGATGATTTCTGCAAAGGCACCCAGTTTCGAGTTAATCGAAGTAAATCGAAATCCTTAAGCCTGTACGATCAGCCAAATATGGAAACTGTTAGAACAGCAAAAGTACTCGGAGTAGTGCTAGGAGACCCAGAGCTCTCAAGAAGATCAAATAATGAGGAAATTCTGAAAAGACTTCAAAACAACAAGATCAGATTCAATCGATACATGAGTTACAGAGCAAAATCTATTGCGGTTTCCACTTTTGTGATACCACAAATAACTCATATCGGAAGACACGATCTAATTTCAATAGATGTTCTCAAAATGTACAAGGAAGTAACCAGAAAAATTGTTTGGGGAGCTGGCAGGAGATGTGAAATAGCTTTGCATTTCCTTGAACGAGACATACTCAAAGGAGGAGTGAAACTTCCCAGCCTGCAGGCCCATCTTTTAGCTGCCAAAATCCAAGATTTTCAAAATGCCTACTTCAACTTCGGACCACTGCAGAAACATCTCTTAATGGAAAACTGGAATAATCCAACAAGCAGGTTTTACAGAGAACTAGATGGAGATCTAGAAAACTCTGAACTCAGTATCAACTCATTAAATGACGAAAGCATTGAGATAATAAATTCCCGAGGTTGGATGATGAGCATCCTTGCGAAAACAAAATACTCCCAAATATATGGAGCATGCGTGGAAAACTTTCACTTTGAAAATAGTTGGAAAAAAAGAATCGAAAAAAGCTGCTTGAAGTTCAACTTGAACCCAACTGAATTCAGTAAAGTTTCGCCATGGTTGTGGAGACAACCAAGGTTAACCAGCTTTGAAAAAAAATTGTTCTACCGTCTGCTCTGCAATTGCCTTCCAGATAAAGACGTCCTATGGAATAGAAACTTAAAGCCCGATCCATTATGTGCTTTCTGTATGTATGAGTTTGAGAACTGTACCCATCTGTTTGAGAGTTGCTCTACTATAAAACCGTTCCTGGAAAAACTTCAAATCAAACAATTATCCGACATATTCAAAAATCCCAGTGTTGTAAAAACGAAAGCAGTATCAATCGTCCTTTTTGATTCATGGAGAGGCAATAATGCAGAATGTACAACTTACAGACTTAAAAAACTTACAAACTTTATGCATTGATTTACCTAAATAAGTTTTCTTTTTGCTTTAGTACCAAATAGTTGTAGTACATAACTTCTAGTAATTTACGATTTACATACTAAAGTTTTCCGTGCGGAGGGACAACTTGAGAATTCTCTCTTTTTCCAAACCTGCTCTTCGGGGCAGGTATCTCCAATAACAAACATTTCATTTGTACGATAAAGTTTTTGCTTAGAGTTTTGACTTATTTGGCAATTAGGGTTTTTCTAATAGCAAGTTAGGCGTAGATTTAGTTAAAACATGTCGAATCTGCATGTCCGTAGAGGCGAATCTAACTAAAATCAATGAATTACTAACCATATGCAGCAATATGAATATTACCACATCAGTTTGATTTTAGCAGCTTCTTTATTTTTCATCTGCAAAAAAGCGATAATAAGAAAACCTTATTTTTTGCCGATTTGTAGACGCGCAACAGTTGTCGGTACCTGATCCCCCTCCCCACGTAAGACAAAATGACTACTTCATAAACCCAATGCCCCTATCATATTGACTCTCCCCCTTTTTTTGTTATGGGGGGGGGGGGTTCAATAGACCTCATCGTATTTTTATAGAAATAAAAATTACGATACCATAAACTAAACACTATCGATTTTTGAGAGATCCAAATCATAACAACTGTTTTAACGAAAAAAAATTGTCTGGATTAAATAAATAAAATTTTATGCCGATTTCTATCTTTAAAAATGTTTTTGGATCGTTTTTATCATTGTTTAGCAGATTTGATCCTCACGCAGTGAAAAACGCAGTTTTTTAACCTTGATTTTTTTTCTTGAAACCAATAGATAATCAGTATTAGAATCCATATATTTTCTTGAAATTTTGTGTTTTTGTAGGTTCAAATTACTTTTTCAATTTCTTCGGCAAAATTAGAACCAATTATGTCATTAAGTTCATGCGAAAATCGGAGGTAAGCACCGAATTGGACATCCTAATATGCAATGAAATTACTTATCGAGAGACAGCCTTTAAAAATATTTCAATCTATATAAAGTATGATTTGAAAAAAAGCACCCCAAACAATGTAATTGTTATTCCCAAACCTGCAAGGAATGAATTTGAGTTGCTAGAGCAACCGAAACAGTCAACATGCGACTAAATAAATTCTCATATGAATTTGTCTACTTCGTTTTTTAGCATCTTTAATTTCACCCTTCAGTAAATTAGGGAACAAGAAAAACCAGCAATTTACAGAACTTAGGCAGTTTAAATAATTTTTCTTTTGGAACATATTTGAAAATTACACTCTATGAGTTGATCATCAAAATCTAAATTAGTCTTTTTCAAAATTATCAAAGTAATTCTAAATGGTATAATCTTGTTTTAATTCAATAGGTAGATAATAAAGTTTTGTCCCATGATTACGTAAGGAATTGAATGTAATCTTAATGTTAAAATTTTCTTTGTTTAAAAAATCTAGTCTTGTATTTGTGATTCGGTTTTATAGAGCAATCATGAGAAATCGGGGAGATCAATTTGATCAGAGTTTGTCAAACAAAATTTAGTAAATCGTGAATAAATAGCTTGTAAACATCCAGAACATTGTCTTCACGGAAAAGAAAATCCGTTGAAAAAATTTCCGTTCGTTGTTAATGAGAAGAAAATTTCCTTTTATATTGGCCTATGCGATAAGCAAGGGTATTGCAATCGGGTACTAGATTTTTTTCCCGTAAACACTTTGTTCGAAGAATCGATAAATTGAAAAGGTTATCATTTCAATAGCTTAATGGTTAGTGTAGTGTATAGTAGTTGCATTTTGGTTTTTTTTTTCAAAATTGCTCAGCTCATATTTTGTTTTTTTTTCTTGTCAACATGAGTTGCTGTCTGCTATTCCTGAATAATTTTAAGTATTTCTTTTGTTGAAAGTAGTCGCAATGTGTTAAAATTGTAACGAAATAACTTTTTAGTCTTGAATTTTTTTCGTTGTCAATTTAAAAAAGTTCTTAATAATTATATTTCACTTCCAGATAATATTGACACGTTTCTGGTTAAATTTTTTAAAATCGCTTAGTGATACGTTTTTTTAGCAAAATTAGTTAAATTACGTTTTTTTATTTGAGGTTTTGTTCTCAGTCTGACCGGAATTTTTTATAGGAGTTCAATTTGTGTTTGTTTTCGACCTCAGAACTTTAAAATCATTTGTTTGTTCTTAGTAGCGTCTCTTTCTTGTTTCTACTTCTTTAATGAGTCCTTTGAGCCAATTGTTTCTTTAGCAAAAATAATTATTAGATTTTGGAGTGTTGTAATTGTTTTTGAAGTTAATCATTTTTAGTAGTTAGTTGCTTCTAGAAAAGTTTTTCCAGGTGAGGTGTGTTTTTTATTTAATTTTAGTTGTTCTGTTAGTTGCAAAATGATATAAAATTTCTCGGTGTTTGTATTTTGTCTTAGTGAATAAAATCAAAGTTCGTTTTTTCATCAGTGTGCTCTTTACAAATAGTTCCATCGCGTGTATTCTGCATAGCTGGCCAGGTTAAAACATCAGTTGGAGTCAAACTGATTTTGCTGCTTATTTGTTTTTCAAAAGTGTTTTCCAACATTCTTGTAATCTGATTTTTTAAAACTTTTTCCTAGACTTTCATTTTTTCCATTATAAGTGGTTCGAAGCTCTGCTTCGCCTGTCTTTTGCTGCTTGAGTGCTTACATTATCTATGTACTTTGAAACTAAGTTTGGAGTCAATACATATACGCAGATAGTTAACGCCCGAACTAACACCGAGTTGAAGGCCGTCTATTTGAAGCAGCTAAGGAGAAAAGTTTCCGAATTGTATCTTGTATCAGCTGGCATTTAATTATTTTCCGATTTAACGTTAGCTTATTAGAACTGAAGAAATGTCCTACCCTATTTAGGTCTTGCTGGAACTCTAGATGACTCGTTTGTCGGTTAGAAGTCAGTATTATACGAAGTTGTTTTAGTTGGGCAAACAGCACGAAGACATCGGACTGGACTCACTGCGTAGAGTGTTGCTCCCAGTGGAAGTGGAACACAACCCCGACAAGACCACATCCAATCTAACAGTACACGGCGGGAATACAGCACACGATGCCAGCAGTTCCAGTGGTGTGAGCCAGAGGTTGAAGGAGCCAGTGAAGCCCCATCTGACGAACAAGGAGTACAAACATGAGAGACCACATGTGTTTGTGGACACTTCACACGCCAAAACTTCTGTACAGGTCATTTGTCATGTTTTTATTCTGTCCCTATGAGCGAAAAATCCCCCTTTTTTTAACCAATTGAACGATTCAAACTTTTCCCCAACCCCGACCCTCTTAATTTAAATGACAATTTTCAACATTGAGAAATTTCAAATTAAATGCTTGTAAGTTGAATGCTTTTAACGATGTGAATAATCCCTTCCCTATGATGGTTTAAAGGAAAAATTGTTTTTTGTTTGGTCCGTCAGCCTCTACTAAATATGAAAGTACGTGCACCCTCCTGCTGCATTCCGTAAGTGGCAGTTCGTTTCATTTATTCATCAGCACATTTTGTTTTCAGGTGATGAAATTGTGTTTGGAGGATCTGGGATGGTACGAGATCAGGAACCACTTTCAGCACGTCAGTTCTTGTCCAGATATCTTTTCTGTTTTTAGGGTAAAATATCCTGCCCAGGAAAATAAATAGGTTTCGGATAAGGTAAACAGATAGTAAAAAAGGTGGAAACATAAGAATTGTGTGAAATTATGTTGTTTCTTGATTGCCTCAGTGCTGTTTATGAGTAATGAACGTAGTGAAGACTCTGATATAGGTCTTGCTGATTTTTTGTTTGTTTTTTTTTCAGGAAAAAGTCTTAAAATATTGATGCACTTAGGTATGATGGACTTTTTGAGTTCAATTGAAATTCATCTGCTGAAAGTGACGTAAATAGCACTCTCCGAATACGAAAGGGGAAATTGCGCAAAAAAGGTGAACGATTTCTAGTTTCAAAAGTGGAATTGAATTTTTAGATTTCCAGCGAAATAAAAAGTTTACCTATTGTTCCAATTTTCTCTAGTTGGGTTAATGTTCTCAAAAAAAGAGCCAATCTAAAATTATTCTTCAAGTTCAAAGAGCTCGATGGGCATCTATTTTTTCTTTGAAACTCGAAAGTTGAAATTTTAAAAACAAAGTCAGTGTTTTTTTAATGTTTAGTTGCGTTCATTACTCTTTTCCCATCTTCGATTGGCTATGTTTTAAATTCTCCGGATAAAACGAATAAAGTTGAATTTTGAAACGCTTTCTTGATACTTTTTTTTATCAAGTTGGGCTGTTTTTGACAAAAGATGATGCAGACAATGTTAACTTGGAATTTCAGCAGAATTAATATCGTGCAATTTGTTTCACGAATATCGAGCTTTTTGTAGTCAATAAACATTTACGCCAGAACTACTGGATCAATTGCTGACAAAATTATATCACCGTGAACCTCTCATGTAGGCCAACAACGTTTGAGAAGAGTTAACCTTTAATATTTGCTTTGAAGTTGTTGTCAAAAAAAACAAGGATCGCCGGTTACTGTAGCACAGAATGATCCGAACATAGTCTTATAAAAATACATAAAAAAGTTTTCCAATTAATGTCTTTCTTTCTCAAGGTGTGATAAAAGGATCTGAACGAAAAATTAGATCTTAGACATGTTCGACAGTCATAATAAAAGAGGCAAATTGGAAAAAAGTTTTCGTCAAAAATTGGCCACAAAAACAATAAAAATTTAAAAAGGATCAAAGTTTGTTTAAATTTTGTTGTTGCAGTTTGTTGTTGAACTTTCGACCTGAAGTAGCAGTTCGTTTCATCTAGGGGTGTGATAAAAGGATCTGAACGAAAAACTAGATCTTAGACATGTTCGACAGTCATAGTAAAAGAGGCAAATTGGAAAAATGTTTTTGTCAAAAATTGGCCACACAAACAATAAAAATTTAAAAAGGATCAAAGTTTGTTTTATTTTTGTTGTTGCAGTTTGTTGTTGAACTTTCGAAGTTCTTGATTACAAAAAGGCGCTAAAATACTCAAGAAAAATTAACCGAGTAAAACTACGTTTTTTGGCTGTATTTAAGCTATTGTGAGCTTTTCAGCTGTTAAAATAAGCTAATTTAAGTTTTCTCGCTCGCGTTACTACCTCGATTATAGACGAAAACTCGAAGTTTCAAACCGGTTTTTCTCGACGCTGGGAAAAGTTTTAAAAATCGTTCGAATTACGCCCTAAAGTTCTTTTATATGATATATCACGTAACTCCCTCCGATGATTTTTTATTGTAGCTGATTTGCGTGGAAAATAAAAAAGAGCAAAAGATGTTCGAAACAAAAGTTGCTATCTGATTTAGTGAAGTTGACATATTTCGGCTATTCTAAAGTAAATTTATTAACCTTTATTTATTATAAGCAACGGTAGTACAATCGGGTACTAAACTTTTTCCCGTAAACTACTTTGTTCATAAGATGACTTATATTTGGTCGTCTCCTAATCAGTCTCTATTGTACTCAAATGTACTCACGATGTACGTCTAACTGCTGTAATTCAAAAGCCGGATCAAAAACTAAAATGATTAATGTTTTTCAGCTGAATTTAAAAAAAAAAAGATTTCTAGATGTGAGTTGATTATGTTGTCAGCTTCATCAATTTGGACCCAGTTTTTGTCGGCTTTCTCGCCAGGTAATCAATTCTGTAATTGTTTGGTAGATTTTTCATCATTTTGTCATTATCATGATGGTAAATATAGTTCATGGTTTTCTGTTTTATTACCGCAAAATTTTTCTCTCAGATATAAAACTTATTTGAATTTTTCTGCTATAATTTTTTTGCAAAAAATTGCGTGAAACTAGTTTTAGTTTTATTTAGTCAGGTGTGTGTGAGGCTTAAGCAATGAATTTAAAATCGATTCAAATTTATGGTTTCACGTATTGTTTCAATTTGTCAAAAAACAATTGATAAATTTCCAGATCATTTTTGCTAATTTGACTTGACTTTGTTGCTTACAAAGGAATAGGGCGACGAATTCTGCACGATAATTAGGCGCGTGGTTCTTTCTGGCTGAAGTTTTTGAAAAACTTTGCATGTTTTTTATTTCCATTTTGGGCGTTTTTTAATATTATTTCTTTGTTGTGATCTAGCTCTTTTTACCTTTGCATACAAATTTCACAACGGAATTCTTGATGTAATTGCGTTTTTTTATAGGCTCAGTTTTTCAGATTTTCTGCAAGTTAATTAATGTGGTAATTGTTTGTAATTTTTGCGTTCATGTGTTTGAAACTTTTTTTTAGTATGATGTTATACTAGAGAGGATAGGGCCTTTATCCCAGATTTTTCTTATTGGATATGCAGATTGTTTGGTTGCAAAGTTTCATGATCATTTTTTGATTACTTTTAGGAATTATCGCATCTCAATTTTATGACCGAATTGTTTTCTTATTGTTATCAGAAAGAAATGGATGGAGTTAAGCCAAATCCAATTGACTTCTATATCAATTGCAATAAAATTGTTCACTGATTTTTGAGCCTACAATTTCTTCAAAATTCATTCATTTTTTTTAATTTTCGTTGAAGACTATCTTTTGATTTTTGGAGCTTTATTGTGTTCGTAAGTGGTGCGAAGCTCAGCTTCGCCTCTGTTTTGATACAAATTTTTAGAGATTATGCTCTTTTTAAACGTTGTTGGCTTAATTGCTGATTGACCAAGCTGACTTCGGCTCCATCATTTTTTGTCCAAAGCAACCCAGTTAGAGAAAAACTTGTTTTAACTTTCAGGTTTTGATCGCATAATTTCAATCAGCACTGTTTTTGAAATAGTAAAATTATAAAATTATATAGAAAGTCTCAACTGGATGGTTGTGCGTTGACTGTAGGCCTCTATGCGTGCAATGCGAGTGCCAGACATATTCTGGCATGCATGTGCATTCGAAGACACTCCCTGCATCCCCTACAGCAGCGAGATCCGAATCAACAAATTCCCAGGTACACACTTTTACTCACATACATATACGCACTTACCAAAATTTACCCGTTTCACGAGCGATAAATAGCAGGGAAAAATCAGCACGTTAAAAGTTTTTGTTTCCAATAAATAAGTTGAGAAAATTGAAATGAATTGGATAATTAAGAAAATGTACAAAAGAAAGAAACAATCAATCTCTCCAAGTATAAACCAATTCATCAATAAAATTTCTTCAAATATCGGAATGGATAGACAATGGAGAATGCTGGGCCCATAAACATCTACAATTGGAACAAGATTCAGAGAAAATAAGGATGTTTTTCGAGTTATCTCGAAAACTACAAGGATTTGGAGGTCATTTTTTATGCAGAAAAGCCTAGTTGTGCACCGGATAGGTTTTCAAATTATGTTAAATACGGGATAGTTCAGAAAAATAAAAATTTTTGATATTGACCGGCATCCAATTGAGAAGCGTTTGCCTGGTGAACAGTTGGCATGCTCATCGAATCGAAAATTGCGCAGTTTAAAAAGTGTTTCAGAGAGCAAGCTTTAATCAGATCTCCTGGATATTTTTTGTTTTTAAAATTGAAGAGGAATTAACTCATTCAAATAATTTCCGATTGAAAATTGTTTACCGATTTAAGAAAAAACAGAATGTATATTACCGATTTCAACAGAATGTATATATATATTTGGTGTTTTTTTTATTCCAATTGAGCGTGTAGCTGCAACATCTGTAAATTAAATTACCGTATTGCAGAATCGAAACAACATTGTTACACTTAACACAAGCAAAGCTTGTGTTATAGTATGAACTCTTTCTTTTTCAAACCTAAGTCGCAAATATTGGTGTAGATTATTGGTGTAAGTTAAATCCTAAAGCTTTTTTTTTCTAAAGAATGATTTCACGCTCAGTATGAAAAATCCCACGTCAGATAAAAATTTTAACCGATGGAAAAATTGTTTATACTTGCGAAGCGAGTGTATTAGTACGAAGCTTCTTTTGTTTCCCACCTATATCGAGAAGATTGGCGCCACTTTTGGGGCACTTCTTTTGACAGCTTTTTGATAGCATGTGCTTTGACATTCGAATAGTAATAAGTTAACACAATTGATGCATTTTTAATTCATCAAATTAACCGAAAAAAGTTATTTGTTTCAAACAACATAACAATTATGAAAATTGAATTTCAGAAATTTTTAAACTAAATATAGTTCCCAATTTTTTAAATTCATAATTTATACATAATGTGGCTTTATGCTTTCCGATTTGTTACATGCAAACTTAGTGTGGATGTCTTCAGTTTGTTATATTCCAAATTATTACTTGCAAGATAGTGTCTACTTGTATTTGGTTCCATTTTTGCTGAATCGGATTGGCTATTTATTAGCATATGTAGCTGCGTTATTCGTGACTAGTGTTTATCGATTGTTAAGCTCGCGTGACTGAGTGGATAGAACGTGAGACTCAAAATCTCTTCATTACGGTATGGTGTAGGTTCGAATCCTACACGTAGCCGAGTTTTGCTATTTCGAGGCTTAAGTTTTTTCTTATTTCACTTGATAGAACTCCTTTTTGGTCGTGTTCTCGCAAGTGTACCCAAAATTCCGAAAGTACAAATACTCTTCGAGAAGTTTTGCCAAAACTTTTCAACTTGCTTCTCGTCAACCCTTTGTCAAGACATCTGGAATTTTGTTATTCTGTGAAACATGGCTAATTCCTGACGATAACAACAATTTCGAAATTCCAGGTTTAAAATCGCAAAGATTTGATATTGCAACTTTTACTAGCTCTCAGAAACTGTTGTTTACCCTTGCGATGCGCAAGGGTATTGCAACCGGGTAATTAACTTTTTTCCCGTAAACAACTTTGCCGCAGGACTCATCTCTACCTGGTTTTATTATGTATTCAAATTTGTTGGCGTTCGTGGCCATCATAGCGAGGTAACGAGTTTGTCTGGGACGGCAAAGGTCCTGGGTGGGAGTCTGACCAGGACCTGTTTTTTTTTTTCAAACGGGAAATGTTGTTTCAAAAAAAATGTGGGCCAATTATTTGTCTGCTTATGTGTTGCCGGCTTAGTTGTAACATCTTGGAATTGTTTATTTTTCTATGCGAATTTTTAATATTTTTTAGGTGTTCGATTTACGCCTACGTTTTGTAATTTAACTAACCTTGACTTCATTTTTCTTTTGTTTTTTTTTATTTGCTAAAAAAATTCCTCTGCCAAAAGTAATCGACCTATTTTTTCATCAGATTATTGACCTTATTTTGAGACCTTTCAAGATCAACACATTTTCAGCACTCGCCTCCGCACTTTTCAGATTGGTTGTATACTTACCAATCTATTTGATGGAATTTCATTTTTTTCGTGTTTGAAATTTTTTTCACCCTTTGCATTATTTTTAGTTTTTCTCAGAAATTCCTGATTCCAAAGAAAGGAGTATCAATTGAAAGACCGCGTATTCCTCTGTGTGCCTGCATACTCCCCTAGAGTCTTTTTTAAACTTGAGCTCTCTGTCTGCGGTCTTCGAAAAATTGAATATTTGACCCATATTTTTTTTCATTTTCTCAAAAACAACCTCTCTCAAATATGAGTTTTTGGTTTCAATGGAAAGAACGATTTTAAAAAGCTTCCCTGAACAAGTGGCCACGACAAAAATTTTTTGCACGTAAAGTTATCGCCCTCGGAATAGTCGAATTTTCGATTTTTGAATGTTTTGTGGATCTTTTTGACTTTTTCTCAAAAACTAGCCTCTCAAATCTGATATCGTGAGTTCAATGAGGTTAGAGATAGTGGGAAGCTACTCTGCATTAGCGGACACTAACAACAGTTTTATACAAGAAGTAATCACCCCCTGAAAAGTCTAATTTTTCATTTTTTGACTGTTTTCTTTTAAAATTTTTGAATTTTTCGAAAGTTACCCTGCCATACCTGAGATTTTCGGGTTAAAATATGTCGGTTTAAAATTAGTCGGGTTAAAATAAGTCTATTTGGCATGTCATTTGTTTGAAATGTTCACTATTTTTTGTGGTTAATTTTTGTGCTGAAAAAAGTCGGCCTAAAATAAGTCTATTTTCGTGTGTGTATTAGGCATGGTGCAAATAGTACGCAAGAACAGTCTCACTTACGCCATCAGAAGACTGCAGCAGTTCTTTCCCAGTGACTTCAAGTTCTACCCCCGCTCGTGGAACATCCCAGAAGAGATCCCCCAGCTGATTGTGGACCATGAGAGGGAGACAGACGAGAGAGCAGCCAGTGGCCGGAGGGGGAGGGGGACGAAAAAGAACAAGAAGATGTGGCTCATATTCAAGCCAGATGACGCCTCACAAGGTAGCACGCCAACACAACAAACAATTCAGAAAAATTAAAAAGAGTTTCTTTTTTTGTGAAAGCAGCCAGGGCTCAAAGGTGGAGATTAACAATTCAGCTTTAACTACTAAATGATTTACTTGCGCTGAAAAACGAGTAGGTTTTTAGAGTCGGTTTTTAGAGTCGCTGAAAAACCATAGAAAAGTTTGCACTCATACGTTTTCTTTTGCCGAAAGGCGCCGAATGTTTTAAACTAGAAATTTACCAAACATTCAATTTGGAATCGAGGTATTGTTGCTTTTTTCCTGTTTTTGTTTCAATTGACTACATACTATGTGTTTTCAGTTGTATGTGTTTTCCAGGCACTGGCATCTTCCTGGAGGACAACCCCCGCAACATTGACTCCAGTCTGGCTGGCAGCCGGAACTACCTAGTGCAGCAGTATATAGACAACCCCCTCCTCATAGACGGACTCAAGTTCGACTTCAGAGTCTACGTCCTCCTCAGGAATCTCAGCAATGTCCAAATATTCCTCTCACGCGAAGGTAATCCTCACATCGCCCTCTTCTATTCTAATTTTTCCATTTTCACTCACATTTTTCCAACTGAGGCATAAAGTTATCTTTGCAAATCTTTTCAGTTCAATTTAAATTCATTTGATAAAACGAAGGCAAATTATGTTTTTCAATCAAAACGCAGAAATGGCGCGAAAAAATATGAACGACAGCATTCAAAAATTGGTAATATGCAATGGTTGTTATCATTTGAAAAAGGCTTCGGGAAGTTAAGTTAATGAAAAGCAAAATAATTCGAAGTGTTCAAGTTCAGCAATGCAGGCCATCCAAACAACGCTCTATTGCAGTTCGGTGTGAAATAGGGCGTGAAAGTTTCCATTAAACTGCCAAGCAATGGATTACTTTTCAATTGCCTCGTCAGAAATTTAGTTTTTAAATAGTCTTGACAATAACGTTGGCTTTCGGTGAGGGGCGAATGTTCAAAAATGCTCTTTCAGGTCGACCAAACTGATTTTCGAAGCACTCCGAAAAACAAGATAGACCCTCTTTTGCGTAATGAAAATTCGCCGCATAAAATTTTCGAGAAATCAGGCCGAAAATTTCTTTGGAAGGCTTTGATAAAAAATTGCGTTTTTTTGATGCTCATTCTCCCTCAAAATTAGTATATATTGGCGCTTTGATAGATTTTTCGGGTCTGAATGTGAAATAGTTCGGGTCGAAAATTCATGTGAAATAGTATTTGGGTTGTGAGGGTTGAATTGTTAGGGATAAATCGTCCCCCCCCCCCCCGTAATTGGGCGGTTGTATTGATTTGTGTTGTTGTGTTGAGGGATGGCCCGTTTCTGCACTGAGAAGTACGAGGCGCCCTCTTCTAGCAACAAGAGCAGAGTGTACATGCATCTGACGAACTACTCTCTGAACAAGTACAGCGATACATATGACTACAACAACAGCATGACCAGAGGCAGCAAACGACTCCTCTCCTCCGTCTTCAACTTTCTCCAATCGGAAGGGTGAGAGAGAGAGAGAGAGAAAAAAAGCAAAAACATCTATCCAAATTTATATTTTAAAATTATTCTCATATCTTACTGTCAAATACTTGAACAAATCGAGAAGTTTTTGGATGGTTCCAGGGTTCATAAAAAGGCGAACCAATAAAACTAGCAGCCGCAGTTGTTAATGCCGAAAAGTTTTATAGCAAAAAATACATCTTGTAACTGTATTTGATTTTTTTTTCTGTATTGTTTTTGTTGGGGGCTAGGGAATAAATACCGACTGCTGCTGAATGAAAAAAGGGATGAGGAGAAAGAGCAGATAGCATACGATGAAAGGAACCTTGGAAGCACTACAGATTGTGTTACGCTTCTCTAGTGATGTCTTGCCATGTGTTTAGATACAACGTGACTGAATTGTGGACAAAGATAGAGCAGATTAGTGTGAAGACGGTGTTCGCCATATTGCCTGACCTGCTGGTGGCCTACAGGGACGAAATACCCCCCAATAAACAGGGCCCACAGTGCTTCCAGATACTAGGTACTCGTTCTTGTTGTTGTTGTTGTTGTAGCCACATAGTCCGCGTTTTGATATTCTGATTTTTTCTGCGCCTTAGGTGTTCAGTTACCCAGACCATAAATACCGATGTAGTCCATGAAGCTGTGTATGCTTATTTTTGTCTTAGTTGACACTTTTTGCCTTAGTTGATACATTGCGATAAAGAAGGGTTTTGCAACCGGGTACTAGACTTTTTTCACCTAAATAACATTGCTCACAGTTTGGATTTAGTGCAGTTGATGGTCATTTTTGAATAGGCAAATGAGCATATCTGCCGTTCTGTTCTATTTGAATTTTATATGTTGTTGTAAATTCACCAACTCCGGTTTCAGTATTTTTTTGGTTGTTCTCAAGTGCAAATAAGTTACAGTTAGGTTGTAGTTGTGGATTTTGTGTGATATCAGGGCCCTGCCTGTGTTTGGTTTGACGATGGTTTCCGCACAAAAAATGAGAATGATTTTTTTAAAAGTCGATGAACGTGGTTCAGACTCTTATTTAGGTCGCGATGATTTTAATTGTTTTTTTTTTCAGGCTCAAATGTACTTTATCACTGTTTGACTTTTGATTTCTTTTTCAGTTCAGCTCATTTCCTTTGTTAAAAGGAAGGAAAAAAGAAACTCCACTATTGAACAGCAAAGTTGAAAATTCACGAAAAACGTGATTGACTTCTAGTTTCGAAAATGGAATTTAATTTTCAGATTTAGCCAGCGAAATAAAAAATTTATCTATTGATCCATTTTTCTCAATTAAGGTTTATATTATCTAAAAGCGCTTTTTATAAATTGATTTAGAAATTCAAAGAGCGTTCATGGGGCATTTATTTTTTCTTGGAAATTGGAAAGATCAGATTTTTTTCAAGAACATTTGTTTTTTTTTTAAATTGCATTCATTGACTCTTTCCAACCGTCTTTTGGCCATGTTTTGTTATGTTTTCTTTTTGCTTCATGATTTTTGTTTATTTTGATTGCAGTGAAGATTAATGATAAGAAGAATTAATGTTGCTATCTGTTCACTAGGTTTGGCCACTACACTTCGAAAAATAAGTGAAATATTTTTTATATTTATATCTATAAATTTTTGATATTTTACTCTGACTCGATTATTTAAATTGATTCTCACTATTTTCTCCAAGCGTAGGCTCCAAGTGGGCATCATGTTTGTCTTTCGCCTATTATTTCCAGGATATGCTGAAGAAATAAGTTCTTTCTTTCGATATCTTTTTTTTCTGTTTTTGTCTTCTTTCTTGGCTTAGAATCCTTCGGCTTTTCGTCCTCCGACCCTTGAAAGTGGGGAGGAACTTTGTATTCGGCTGTGTTTTAGTGTTTTTTTACTTTTTTTTCCACGCAAAATAATCCGACTGGGCTGAGTGATATATCATATTAAAGCCCTTTCAGTCGTTTTTCGAACGACGTTGAAAAATTTGCAAACAATTTTCCCAGTTTCGACGAAAAACTATTTGAAATGTTTGATTTTTTGTCTATTTCCGAGCGAGTAAATCGATTGAGTAACGTTAATTATATATGAATGAAAAATAGCAATTTGGGCTAAAAAAAAACTGTAATGTTGACTAAAAGGAAAACTTATTTTTGGAAGCCCTCTGTGCTACGTGCACAGTAACCGGCTATCTTGTTTTTTATCGACTTAGCGGTTTTTTAAGTCGTTTGATGAGCAAAAAAAAAGTTTTTTTTTCTATGAATGTTTTGAGGGATATTTTTAGTTGACGTTTTTTTAAAATACTTTTTCGGCGGCTCATCGAGTATCTGCTCAAAATGGTCGGTTTGCTTTAAAATTGTCGGTTGTCTAACCAAGTTTATTTAAGCAGCTGAAAATAGTTAATAAAAGCTAAGCAAAATGAGGGCTGATAAGTTACAAATTAAGAAAACAAATCAAAGTTAAGTGTTAACATCGAGGCAAATCGAAGCTTTGCACCGTTTGCGATGCAACACAAACATAGCATGACAACTAACAAAAATGAGTTGGTGCAAAGCTTCGCTTCGCCTCGATTTCAGCGCTAACTTTGATTTATTTTGTAAACGAATTTGTAAATTTACCAGCCCTGATTTTTATTTACTATTTTCTGTTTTATTTCCCCCAAGTTTGACAGTTCTAATGAAGTATCAAGTGAGTATGTCTGATTGTTTCATCTTGCAGGTTTCGACATTCTAGTGGATGACAAGTTTGAGCCGCACTTGCTGGAAGTGAATGCCAACCCCAGTCTGAATCTGGACCACGAGACAGAGATAGGTGAGGATGGATTAATTGGGGTGGCTGCACCCAATCATCCAGGCTACCAACTGGTCCACAGTCCAGTGGATGAGGAGATCAAAAGGCCAGTGGTGTTGGAGTCACTCCTGTTGGCATGTCCAACACATCACAGACACAAGACACTGTTAGTTGTCATAGAGATAGTTTGATTCGAATCTAAGAACCTTTCCGACTTCGAAGTTACTGAGATCTCGAATAGCAAATACGAAGGCTATAGGGGCTAATCACGAAACGCTACAGTGCTGATTAAAATTAACCGGACAAAACGAGCTAAACTTGAAATTTAAAACGCGTTTTTCTCAAATTGGGTTGAGTTTAGGTCCAAACTTATGGAGACAAAACTTGCTTAAATTTTCAGCAGAATTAATATGGTGTGATTTGTTTTGCAAACTTCGGGCCAAAAATTTTACCCCAAAAATGGGTCATTTTGGCTTTTCTTACTTAATCAAAAATTACGCCGAGAATAACGAGTCGATCACAGACATAATTATATCAAAGTGAGCCCCGTACGTAGCCCAACAAACTTTAAGAAGAGTGTTTTTTCCAAAAAAAAATTTGCAAACTGTTTAAAAATTGTTTTAATAAAAAATAGCATTTTATATAGTAGATAGCATTTCATAACTTTAAGAGTGTTATATTCTCCAAAACGTTGTATAAGTTAATTTATTTTTGTTTGATGGACAAAACTGGTCGTTTTTACTATATAAAATGCTATTTTTTATTTAAAAACAATTTTTAAACAGTTTGCAATTTTTTTTTGGAGAAAACACTCTTCTTAAAGTTTGTTGGACTACGTACGGGGCTCACTCTGATATAATTATGTCTGTGTCGACTCGTTATTCTCGGCGTAATTTTTGATAAACTAAGAAAAGCCAAAATGACCCATTTTGGGGTAAAATTTTGGGCCCGAATTTTGCAAAACAAATCACACCATATTAGTTCTGCTGAAATTTTAAGCAAGTTTTGTCTCCATAAGTTTTCACCTAAACTCAACCCAATTTGAGAAAAACGCGTTTTAAGTTTCATGTTAAACGCGTTTTGTCCGGTTAATTTAAATCAGCACTGTGTGATAACTGGATGAATTGCCACGTTCAAGTATGAAATGAAAACACTTGAGACTCGCTATCCTTAAAATAATGGGGAGTGAGGTGTCAAGTGTCGTTAAGATGACACCTTTTGGTGCGAAAACCTGAACTACTTTTAGGTTCAAAAGTGGATTTTATGTAAAACATTTACATATCAAAAATGTAAACTGAAAATAAATGAAAAGAAAATCAAACAAAAAATTGGTTCAAAATTTTTTCTTTTCAACTAAAAGGTTTAGCGTGTATAAAGATGCGTGTTGAAAAACGTGTATAAAAAGCTTTTTATCGTGTTACATTCTTCGAATTGCATCTAACAATTAATTGAATCTCTTTTTTTGGAAAAAAAACATCCGGCAAATAAGTCGACAAAAATTGGGCTGAAATCAATTAAGCCTACAAGATATCAAATTAAACATCTGTAAGATTTTTTTAGCAGTGGATCCAGTAATGAATCATTTCTAAACAGTAACGGGAGGTGTTGAACCTGCAACTTGCTGAAAAGGGAGATCTTGAAATTGGAGATCATCCGGTGAACAAAGTTCTTAACGGGAAAAAAGTCTAGTTCCCGATTGCAATACCCTTGCTTATCGCAAGGGTAAAAAATTATTCGTTTGGAAAATAACTCGTCGGCTTATCGTTTGTCTGCTTGATTTTGATGCCTTAGTTGAGATCAAGTACTAGACTTTTTTTCAGTAAGTAACTTTGTTGAACAGGTAGTTTTAGTGGAATGGTGGAATTTATTCTTATACATTTGAATTTGTAAAGCAGCAAATGAGCATTATCTGCTTTTGAAATGCCCGTTCTATTCGAATTTTTTATATTGGTTGTAAATTCACCTAATCCGATTTCAGTATATCAGGTTTTTTTCTCGTTATTTCACTAAAAATGTGTCTGCTTGTTTTATATCGACCCAGCGGCCTGTTTTCGAGTCGTTTGATGAGCGAGAAGTTTTCTAAATGTTTCAAGGGGCTTTTTTCGAATTTTGAAGTTTTTATGAAAGCAATTTTTTCGGCTCAACTGGTGTCTGCTCAAAAATTGCCGACATTATTCTAGCGCCAATCAATAAAGTGAAGAAAGTAATTCAGTTCGAGTTCTTTTTTTGTTTTCTTTTGTTTCAAGAAAAAATTCAAAATTCCTTGTTTAATTGAAATTAAAGTTTAATTGAAAGTTATCAAAAAGGAAAGAAAATTGAGCCCTCAAATAATATCAAATTGGTATACTTTAATGTCTCTGTATAACTTTAACTCCTTTCCGTTAATTTATATGCTTATAAATCATTTGTTGGTTATATGTTACTAATTGAATTTCATCAAGGTTTTTTTTTTTATAGAGAGGCGGTTGACTACTCAGGTAAATTGAGTCTGATGTGTTTTAAATAGTTGATTGTGATTGGTTGTCACTTGATAGAAATCATATCTGCTCTTGCCATAAAAATCTGTAGACTGGAATCATTTGTGATCATCAATCACTTATTATTATATGCTGCATCTGGAAAGGGAGCTGGAAAAATCCATTCGGGAATTAGAATAAGGCTTAGTTAACTTCAGTTTTAGATCATTTTGCTATTAGATGATATCACAGTAGATAGATATACATCATTTACGCCACATTAAAATCAGAGGATGCCCTTGAGCTATCTAACTTAACGCCATTTACAGTTTAGTCCTTGCATTATAGTTTTAATTGAGTTTTTTCTGTATAAAATTCGAATGGATATCACCAAAAATATTTATTGTCAATGATTTTGTCAACAAGCATTGAAAATTTCTACGAGCTGATCAGATTCATCGAACGTCAATCGTGTTCTGAGTTTCCATCTAGCCCAAATTTGTTTGGATTGCCTTTGTGTATTTTTGGTTTTATTTCGAATTTCAGGCTATTAAGCCAAGTGAACAGAAATATTGACGGTGAACAATTCACAGTTTGCATGGGAGATTGGAGACGGAGGGAGGGGGTTTGGTTGGCGGATATTGGGCTTTTTTTCTTTTTCCCGCCGCATATGAGCCCCTATTTTATGGTTTAATGGTGTTTGTATGTAGACGTTTCCTGACCAAGTATGGGGTGCAATGTGCAGTACACTACCCGGATGGAGAGGGGGTTGTATCTAACAATGATGACCCCCTCAGACAGGAGCCATGTCTGTACCTGGTCTACAACTGTGCAGACTCCTCCCTCGACTACCTGCGCTTCATGGAACAACTTGTCACTGTCTATGTCTTCGTCTTGGGCACTCGCTCCAACAGAGGCTCCCAGTCCGCATTCAGAAGCTTCATGAGGTCAGTCTCCATTACATCAGCCACTAAATACTCCTGGCATTTTTCCAATTCCCCCCCCCCCCCCCCCACACACACACACACACACACATACATTTCATTACATGTTAGATTCGTTCAAAATTAGTGTATAGCGCACAAGAAGAGTAGCTCGAACACGAACACTTGCTTGCGGGCTTATAGCAGCAGAATTCATTTCAAAGTAGCCTATAGCCTTTGGATAAGCTATACATTTGACTCTTAAGATACGTTATGTTCAAACGGAAAATGGATGCTTAAGGTGATGATGTGTTTAAGCGGCACAATGACTCTTAGCTGGTCAAAGGCAGACTTCAGAAAATTCATGAGGTAACACTGAATGCTAGATACTAACTCTAAATGTGTCAACTCTACTCGAACACTAACAAAATAAATACTAATACTCAAAACAATAAAAAATACTAGCACTACAAACAACTGCTAAAAACCTTACCAACTTCTTAATGCCATTTTTTTCACAGCTATTAAAATAATTCAACATGGATAGCCCGTTGCTGTGAAAGTACAACAGGGCTATACAGTTAAAGACTTTGTTGTCAAATTGGGAAGAAAATAGTAAAAGAAACGTTTTGTAATCTCAATTTTTTGTTCCGCCACTTTATTTCTCATAGTCCAAGGAGAGTGTTTATGGTACTGTTGCTCGCCATTGTCCTTGCTGATTTGGAGAATCAGAACTCTCAGTTGCTTCCTGTCCACGGCTTTTTCTTTGAATGTTGATAACCACTCTGTTTCCTGTTTTGCGAACTACTTTGTCTCATAGTTTGTCCAGTGCCAGTAGTATTGTAATCCGCCGTGTGTCCTTAGGGGGGGGTCTTTTCGACGGTAGGGGTCTTTGGGGTCCTACCAAAAGTAGGGTCTAAAAGGACCCATCTTTTTTAAAGACCCCAAAGTACCCTGCCCGAAATAAAAAGACCCCGCGATCTCAACTCTTCAGTTGGCGTGATTGGTTGGTTTCTCTTACATCTGTTTAGATTTTTGCTTTATGTATGAGCAGATCTGCAGATAGGTGACATCATCTCTGTAGAAGTAGTCTAAAATATCCAGGTTTTACTTCTGCTTAGAAGAGTGCTTTTTCGGGATTGTATCTCGGAAAGCATATTTATATTGTTAATTACACAAGCAGAGCTTGTGTCGTAGTATGAACTCTCTTTTTTTTCCAACTCAAGTCGCAAATAATCTTGCGACATAGTGTGTTCATTTTGAAAGTTAGTAGTATGCATATAGTGCGTTAGGATCGGGGGGGGGGGAGTTGTCATACATGGATGACCATTAGGTATAAATCATAATGGTCACCATGTATTAAATGATCAGCAATGGTCACCATGTAATAATCCTAATTGTCACCATGTATAATTTTATACCTAATAGTCCTCATGTAAAACTTCGGTATATTATTGAGTATTCCCACTGAACGTTGTGGTTACATGTTTGGAGCGGGAAAGGATTTGCCAAATCTTTCTTCTGAAACCAGCTGGAGTGTTTAACTGCGCTATAGACTGTTTGCTCAATTCTTCTTAAAACTTTGATTCAAACTCAAATTACGTACAAATACATACAAAAGTATGCTAAAGACACTATCGCTTAAATGAAGTTGCTTATATCCCAGATTAACTGAGTTCCAAAGCTGAACAAAATCTCGCACTTAAATACACACTAAACGCGGAATAGCGGTAGGTCAAATTTTATGTACAGACAATTCTCATATTAAATAACTGAATTTTATTTACTATACAAAAGTTAATGTGGTGTTTTTTGTGTTTTAATCTATTCGTCGATTTTTTGACCGTGGTTCTTCTACTTCAACTGCTTCATAATCGAAAAACAAATCGTTGAAGAATGACGACTCGTCCTCATCGGAAGTATTGGCCTCCAGATCCGCGATATCCCCGCTATCAATATCACTGTCGTTGGTTTCTGCTGCCCGAATCAGACCGGGGTCTGGAGTTTGCCAACTGCTATTGACCTGGTCCATCAGTTGTCGAAGCGAGCGATGTGGTTGTGTGTTCTCAACAGCAAAACTATCCTCAGAGTATTCATCATCAATTTCCGGATGGTCCCAATTAATGTTTTGAGTGTTGGCGAATTCTACAGACACCCCATCTAGGAAATCGTCACAATCCCACGACACTGGCTGTTGACGGTCTTCAAAAAATGGCATCCATTTTTCCAAATCGTCATCATCGGTTGGGTCAGAATTAACAGCGGCTGTGTTGTCATCACTATCATCAATGCCAATCACAGTTTGACTCACGATGTTTTTGTGACCGTAGGGAAGAGTCTGCTGACCATCATCGAGGATGTAGCGTTTGTCATCAAAAGCTGATAACGATGTTTTCGTCGAAGTCACTGTTTGCAGATTGTGTGACTCGGATGCGATTCGACTGTTTTCAGTTTTGAATAACGAGCCAGAGGTCAAGGTGTCTCGATATCGCTGATGGCTCAACATCTTCTGAGCAGCTTTCGATACACCCTTCGCCGATAATTTTCTGCAGTCTATAAATATAATTATATGATTACTAATCAATTTTTTGATGATCACTAATGTGTGGTGGTAAAAAAAAGAACCAAATGCAATCTGTGGTTTTGTGTTTTTTAGGAGCTACATCATGTTAACTTGAAGGCCAGGTGCAACAAAAAAAAATGACATGAAGGCCAGGTGTGACCTTAAAAATTAGTCATCATTAAAAAACCAACACAAAAAAAAAATCCCCGACAAAAAAATTAAAAAAATTTTTTGCAAAAAAAAAAAAACACTTTTTCGCCCGAAAAATTTTTCGAACAAAAAAAAAAAAAAAATTGCCCACAAAAAAAAATCGTCCGCAAAAAAAAAATCGCCCACAAAAAAAAAAATTTCGCCCACAAAAAAAAATCGCCCACAAAAAAAACTTTTTTCGCCCTCAAAAAAAAAATTTTCGCCCACAAAAAAAAAATCGCCCACAAAAAAATTTTCGCCCACAAAAAAAAAAAAAAAATTTTTTGCCCACAAATAAAAATTGCTTTCCAAAAAAAAAATTCCACAAAAAATCAAATTTTTTTGAAATTCCTGCTCACAAAAAAGGCAAATAGAAATTAATTAATTACCTCTGGACAAAATGGAATAAAGCTTGGGTTTGAGGGATATAAACTCGGTTATAATGTCTCCTGGAAACTCATCCTTGAATTTTAAAACAACCATTTTGTTTTTCGGGTCGTAGAGAGGGTGGTTCTTCGGGTAATTTGACAAGTCAAGTTCATTCAAAATATTCCTTTTTTCGGAAATTTCTCGGTATAAATCTTCACTTTTGACTTGGTACAGGAGACTGTCTGTATCAGAATACAGTAGTTGACATTCAAAATTTGGTTTCATTATATCGTAATGAAATTTATACATATGAAACTTTGCTAACTCAAGAACACTAGCTCCCACAATTGTTGGGACATCCCAATAGATTTTTGTTGGGTTCGAAGTGAACGCTGCCAAGTTTTCTCCAAAAATTTTGTAGGATTTAAATTCGAATGCACTAATTTCTCGCAAAGCGGCATGATAATCTCTAACTATTCGAACAAGCATCCGTTTGCGCTTCGACTCGCATGTTTTCCCATAAGCACAATTGTTCAGTAGTTTGTACAAATCATCCTCAAATTTATTTCTAGCTTGTTGTCGTTTAGTCGTGTTCAATGTGATGTGTGGTTCTAACCATGCTTCTTGTTCAAACTTCAGCACACGGTGCACTTTTTTAACTTTAAGTCCCAACCTAACAAACAATTGCAATAGTTTGTAATGAATTGTATAGTTTGACTTGTCATGCAGCGTCTGCAGTAACTTTTTGGTCTTTCCAATTGAACGTCTTGCAATGTCTTGATTTTTCATCTGCTCGAGTAATTTCGTTTGGATGGGACTCAACCAATCCTGGGGTACACTTTCTTTAGTAGGAGCTAAAGGGTAATCTTGATGATCCTCATGCAGTTCTTCTGGGTACTCGAGATCAACTTCCAATATAAATCCAATCAAAGAGTCTTCAGTCATGTTGAGGATTTGGTTCACAATCACCTCGTCTTCTATATGCTCTATTAACTCAAAGTTACGCACCGGTAATTTCTCCGTTTGCATGACGCCGCCATAGAGGTTTTTTGCATCGATCATAAACCCGTAGGTGCTAGGCTGATCTGGGTTGAAGTCGGGGCATTCTTTGTTGTTGGCTTTGAAAAAGCGACTATGGAACACGGATGCAGTACCACCTCGCATCATATTCTCGACCATTTAAGCGGTCTGATAAAAGCTGAACATTCGAGTCTTTGCAGATACGTTTGAAGGCGTCTCCAGCTAAGTTTGAAGCACTAAAATGGTGCGCGCAGTCCAGACCATAAGTTTGGTGACTAATTTGTCGAAATTCTTCAAAGACGCAAGCAAGAAGGAGTGTATCACACTTGAGATACAAGTTGTGATAATCCTCCAAGTTTTGACATTTGAACATTCTAAAAACTTTCCTTGCATGCTCCAGATCCGCTTGTGAAACTGCAACTTTTCCTCCATTCAAAACATCGGACCAATTTTGCAAAGGAGGCAATTCTTTTTCTGCAAATTTTTCTCTTTTGGTCATGTACGAATAAGGGTAGAAACCTTTTTGTCGTATCAGACACCGTTGATCCTCCGTCTCGTTTGCAAAATACTTGTTCAAAATTGACATTTTTTCCGCTGGTAGATTATCAACCAATTTTTGCAAGGAAGAATTCAAAAACTTGCATGAGTCAATAAATCTGAGGTATTCAAAAACTTTTTGCTCGGATCCGTTTTTCCTTTTTATAGTTTTAATTAGGACTCCAATGCTTAACGATATATCGTCGGTGCTAGGTATAACACTCATTGTACTTGTTGGTTCGCATTCATGCAATGCGAGACAAATGTGGTGAAGGTCATAGTTCTGGATGTTATGTCCAATGACTGGGGTGAAATTTACAGTTCGTCTTGCGAGGTTGCATTTTTCATGTGCCCATCCCAAAAATTTTCCAGAAAAATGGCAATGGTCAAGACATTTTTCGTGCTCATTGGTAAAATGTATACAGCAAATCCAACATGTTGATGTGTTTTCTTTGTTCAACGATTCTTGGCTTTCTAGAAATTGAAGAAACCGTCGCTTTTGATCATATATCTCTCTCGCTAATTGATGCAACTGATTGAGAAACTTTTTCATGCATTGATCAGAGCTGTCATAGTCAAAGAAGTAGGGCTGTGAATTTCCGTGTTCAATTACAGCCAATGAATACCCACAAGCTTCGTGTTTTTGTACAACTCGGGTAGATGATCGCGATGGATTATCAGGACAAGAATC